CTGGTTTACAACCATCAGTACATTGTCCTGTTATATGATAACATTCTTGTGATCTTTTACAATGCCTATTGTTACATAGTTTACTACATTTATCTCCATAGGCACCATTTGGACAATCTGAAATATAATATAAAGAATTTTATATAGGACTGAGATTTCTTGATATTTTGTTATTGATAAGTGTAGACAGTTCGATTCAAAACTTACTCAATATACAATCATCTCCTATATAACCTGGTTGACAACCATCATAACATTGTCCTGATATATGATGACAGTCTTGTGATCCTTTACAATGTCTCTTGTTACATCGTTGATTACATCTATCTCCATATTTACCACTTTGACAACCTGAAATATAATATAAAGAATTCTATATAGGACTGAGATTCTTTGATATTTTATCATTGATAAATGTAGACAGTTCGATTCAAAACTTACTCAATATACAATCATATCCTCTATAACCGGGTTGACAACCATCAGTACATTGTCCTGTTATATGATGACAGTCTTGTGATCCTTTACAATGTCTCTTGTTACATCGTTGATTACATCTATCTCCATATTTACCACTTTGACAACCTGAAATATAATATAAAGAATGTTATATGTGACTGAGATTTCTTGATATTTTGTTATTGATAAGTGTAGACAGATAGATTCAAAACTTACTCAATATACAATCATATCCTCTATAACCTGGTTTACAACCATCAGTACATTGTCCTGTTATATGATGACATTCTTGTGATCCTTTACAATGCCTATTGTTACATAGTTTACTACATTTATCTCCATAGGCACCATTTGGACAATCTGAAATATAATATAAAGAATTTTATATAGGACTGAGATTTCTTGATATTTTGTTATTGATAAGTGTAGACAGTTCGATTCAAAACTTACTCAATGTACAATCTTCTCCTCTATAACCTGGTTTACAACCATCATAACATTGTCCTGTTATATGATAACATTCTTGTGATCCTTTACAATGTCTCTTGTTACATCGTTTACTACATCTATATCCGTATTTATAGTAAATTACGTTATTTTGGCTGGAGGTCGTGCAACAATATTACCCGTGAAATGCTGGTTAAGAGGCGTTTACAGAGGAATTGGTTAATCAAACAGAATTATATCCTTTTTATGAATTAATCTTAAAAATGGAATTAGACTTACTAGTATTACAGCTACCTCCATACCATTCTGTCTGACATCCATTAGGACATTGACCAGTTATAACATCACATTTATCATAGTTCAAACAATGACAGAAATTATTACATTCTGAACCATACGTTCCTGTAGCACAAACTGTAATAGAGAGAGACAGTACGTTCCTGTAGCACAAACTGCTATAGAGAGAGACAGTACGTTCCTGTAGCACAAACTATAATAGAGAGGGATAGTACGCTCCTGGAGCACAAACTGTAATAGAGAGAGACAGTACGTTCCTAGAGCACAGACTGTAGTAGAGAGGGATAGTATGTTCCTAGCGCACAAACTGTAATAGAGAGTGATAGTACGTTCCTGGAGCACAAACTGTAATAGAGAGAGACAGTACGTTCCTGTAGCACAAACTGCAATAGAGAGAGACAGTGCGTTCCTGTAGCACAAACTATAATAGAGAGGGATAGTACGCTCCTGGAGCACAAACTGTAATAGAGAGAGACAGTACGTTCCTAGAGCACAGACTGTAGTAGAGAGGGATAGTATGTTCCTAGCGCACAAACTGTAATAGAGAGTGATAGTACGTTCCTGGAGCACAAACTGTAATAGAGAGAGACAGTACGTTCATAGAGCACAAACTGTAATAGAGAGAGACAGTACGTTCCTAGAGCACAGACTGTAATAGAGATAAACAGTACGTTCCTAGAGCACAAACTATAATAGAGAGAGGCAGTACGTTCCTAGAGCACAAACTGTAATAAAGAGAGACATTACGTTCCTAGAGCACAAACTGTAATAGAGAGGGACATTACGTTCCTAGAGCACAGACTGTAATAGAGATAAACAG